ACTCTGGGTACAGTGAAGTACTGTACCACATTTCATGCCAATCCCTTCAGTAGCTGTTGAGATCTTTCAGCCTGGGCCACAGTAGGACCAACATCACCTTACCTTGAACCACACCATTAGCGTGGCTAAAACAGCAAATTTGGTCCAAGTGTGCTGGCTCCATAAAATCCATCCTTCCATAACTGATCAGAGGCAAATATTTAATAAGATTTCAGTTGGCAATCACTTCAAGCCATCTCCCAACAGCTTAGATGTGTCAATTTCTTCAAGGTCTTTGCAATGTAACTGACATAAATTCACTCTTTGATAATGGTATTCATTGAAATATTTGGAAGCATTTTACTGTCTCTCGTATGGTAAGTTATCTGGTCCATTGTTCCAATGAGGATATGGAAATGCATTTCTGAAGTAATATGCTCTGCATATCAAGGGCCTCTGATTAAAGGAGATAACTGATGGAAACTTACAAGCTTAGACTCCCACACGTTAGGCACTCTAGATGGAGACTTGATGATACATGAGTGAAAGTTTTAATTTCCCATTCAGCGATTCATAAATGAAAGCTAAACAAATCTTTAAACAAACAACCGGATGTTGGCTCTGGAACACCAGAGCACTTTTAAGTACCGATTGCTGCACTGATACCGCACACACAGAGATGCTCACACATGCTTACTGAGGGACCGGTCTGCACAAAGTCTTGTTTTCATCATTCAGATGATTCATACACAGCCACGGTGGAATTGGGCCTTTATTGTCTTGGCTTGACAGACAGTAATGAAATGAATGACACAAGATATCCCAGCAGAGTGCTCAGCCGCCACACAAAAGGCAATCCAGAGTCCCAGTCCAGAATAAGGGAAGGAAATGAATTCATTATCAACAAATTAATTCATCTTAAAACTCACAAAGAACTTAGCATCTGGGGTTTGAGCTGTGAGGCCTTTCTCCGCCTCCTAAATGATCTGCGACATTTGTGCACACAGGTGCGTTGCGCCTCTCACAGCCTCTGACACAGGCTCCTTTCACTGCACTCAGTCGTGCTTTGTGCTTTTTAGGCTTTTCTTCTTTATCCTCGTGATAGAACTTACTTGTCATTCTCTCATAACGCACTGCACTACAGCTGTCAAGTCTAAGGACCCTCATATCCTGTCCCATCACTCAGAAACTCTGCTGGGGTTTCAGACTAGGGCATGCAGGTGGAACAGTGGTCTAAGACTAAGGCTGAAACCAATGATAATGATTATTATCAACTAACCTTCTCTTAAATAAAAGGAGAAAAAAAAACACTTAAAATGTCAGTTTCCTAAAGCCTTAAAGACGCAGCTGGCGTTCGTGGAAAAACCAGCATGACAAAGCTCAATTTTCAAAGTAGCCAGCCGATAATGATAAGTCCAGCGGCAACATGGCCACCATGGTGTCACTTTTCAGTCCCTTGTCTTCTCTCGGTTGTCAATTCTGGTTTGACTTCTCGCAGCATCCAACTTCTTTTTTAGTTGCAACTTCCTCAAATACAGTCTCTGTTTGCGACTGAAAGCGGCTGAGGTACCTTCTCTGCCACAGGTCGATGCTTTAGCTAGAACAGCCGGACAGTAACACATGTGCCTGCCTGGCCTTGTGGGAAACTCTTGGCTCATGCAATGAGTGCAAGGGCAGAGTGCACACCAACAGGCAGGTAGGACGTCCAGTGGGTTTGCCCAGACAGAGTAAAGATGCTGGCCAGGTGTTTTTCCAGCCGTGCCGTTACCACAGACATTTAATGTGTTCATTTCATAAAAAGAAAAATAAATTGCTATAGTGGCATCATCCAGTGTCATTTGTCTCAAGTCCAAAACCTCTAAATATTCAGTTTACAAACACAATAACCAAAGAATTTTTGGTAATTTTGCTTAAATGATGGTTTCAGTGATAAATTGATCTTCTGATTATTCAACATCATTTCAGCTGCTGAAATCTGACCAGCCTTTGTTACATGTCAACTGCTCACCACAGTATGAGCTGCATGTTGCACTGAGCTTCTGAGAAGTGTTGAGATTGCTCCTGTCTAGTAATGAGTAACGGCAGGATGAGACAGAACACCTGTAAGTGATGAAGAACGGCTGTAGCTGCCACGGATTTGTCAAACTGTCTGGGCTGACTCTCCTGACATTTCCGCTAACATACAGAGACAGAGAGCAATCAGAATGTATCACTGTAGCATCAGTGTAGAACATGGATACAAACCACTGGTACAACCTGCATGGGAGTATCGGACTACACTTTAATGAGACAGCAAAGGGTGGTGTGATGGCAATATCACACACTGACCCAAACGCTAAAACTATCTGACTGTACTAACTTTACAAAGTGTTTTCCCATCGGTTCTCCACATTGTAACTTTCTCTCCTTCACAATCAAAGCTTCTTGATGACCCGTGACGTGACCATGTTTGTCATTTCTGTATTTACAATGTGCAGCCATGTCCAGTAAAATCAAAGAGTTTGCCTTAATATTGGTTCAAGCTATATGGTTTCACTGTAAAATTACTGGGGAGACAGAGACACCCTCTGGTCTGTGTGTGCTGTTACTGCAGCCAGATCGAGCAGACGAAGAATCAGTGAATATCACAGTTATAGACGCCTGATTTTCTGACAGGCTCAGGTCTAATAGAGGCAGTAACTGACAGGTACAGCGTAATATTCCACCAGTGTTCAGTGAACATAATTGTCATAATTTAATTATAGAATTTGTGCCTGTGACAGACTGGCGACCTGTCCAGGGTGGACCCTCCCTCCAACTCCCCCCGTGACCCTATTCAGGAATAAGAGGTATAGATAATGGATGGATGGCAGCTGTAAGAAAATATACAGTGGATCTTCTGATTGTGGCACAACCTTATGTGACAAGTATAACTGGCTGCTTCAGCAAAAAAATTATACCAATTTAAAAGCTGTCAAATGCTTACTCTAGTTGATAAATATCAGCATCTGTCATTGGAGAAGAGAGTGAAAGATAGAAACGAACAGATAAAGACAAAGAGAGAGAGGAGGGACAGTGGCGGAGAGTAAACAAGGCCACCAGGGAAATAAGACCAGTCATTTGCATGTGCGTTCCTCTGAGCCGGGGTTTAACAAGCTCTGCATAAAGACAAGCCTGTGTGGGTGGAGATCCTCTTAATCATTGCTAGGAATGCTCCGCAGGAAGCCAACAGGGAGGAGGATCTTGTTAATTGAGATTTTGATGCTCCAGAGGTGTCTGCTACAACTTCAAGATTTCCACTTTTTTTTATTAGCTTGTGCAGGTTACAGTTGAGGGCACAATTTAATGAGGTTTGTGCATTGTTATTGGTGTGAGCCACCAACCATCCTGCATTTATAAAGAATTATCTGGAAAATATGAGGGGGGAAAAAAAACCTGCTGAGATTTAGTGAGAAATACTGAGCATTAGTCTGATTCATAGATTGATCTGCTGACCTGCTGCAACATCAGAAAGAAACCCTAATAAACTAAACTGCTTTTTAATTACAAGTGTATGTTTCTGCCTTATTTGGTAACAATATCATTTAACAGATTTATGTAGACCTGTTCAGTAGTCACGAACAGATGTGGAATTTATAGGCATCTCCAAACATTTCTTTGTACGATGCCTTCCTAAGCCTATTAGCACCGTCTTGTTTTTTTTATCCATTTATTATTGGGTGTTTTTTATTTACCTAACTACAAATAAAACCCTTTATATGCTAATTTTCTTGGTAAATCTATGAATTATTGGCCTATAAAATGGCAGTTGTGTAAATTAGTTGCACTAACAAATAAAAATAAACATATTCCTATCATATTACTAGTTTCCACTGGCATAAACAAAAATATCAATATAAGCTGGAAACAGTACAATTTGGTAGTTTTTACTGAAACAGCGGCTGATTAATTTTCTTTTTGACTTCTTGTGCAGCTGTCACGCTCTGTATGTATTAACATTTGTCAGAGGGCCACGCGCCTCGACCATTTCATATCAAATGTACAAAAGTATCACTAGTTGAAGGCGACTCTGATCTGCTGACTCCTTACTGCTTTATTTATGTCACGTGAGGACGATGAAGCACAAAAAGAGTGGTGTCAGAAAACCTTCAGGAAAAGCGCTGCTGAATGGTTTAATAAGATGGTTTTTAACATTTACTAGTAAACTTTGTTTTAGCCTGTTAAATCAAACATATGTCAACATATGTACACTTTAGAAAACTTCATTTGACAACTAGTTACAAGTTAGTTTGCAGGATAATACTGGACATAAAGTAAAACACATAAGATTATACAGTATAATACATCTGTAAGATTATGCAAATGGATGCGACAGCTACAATAAAGCCCTATCTGATTGGGGCCACTTGTCCCGCTTCAGGCGTCTGACTTATTAGCAGCTCCAGCAGTCACACCTGCTCTCTGAACTTCCCGTTCAGCCACTGTTTGAGGCCCAGAGCT